CTGTCCATTGGGCAGCAGCCTCGATCCCAGGTAGTTGGAACTGTCTACTTCAAGTTGACAGCCATTATTCCTAAAGGACGCCTTCTGTTAGGAATACAGCCAAAAACAACTTGGTCTTCTCAGCGTCCTTTTATAAACTGACTGAAGTGGCAACTTTATTGACCTGCAACACCAAAGACTGTAGATCACCAAAGCTTGGGGCTATCAGGGCGATGTCATCAGCGTAGCCTAGATCAGTTAGCCGGCGTCCGGGTGCGAACTCCACCATCATTAAAACCGTTTAGAATCTACCCAAGAATTCAGTTAATGGTGTAATTGAACAGAATGGTCGACAGGATACGACCTTGTCGGACACCAGGTCAGATATCCAACGGTTGGAAGGGATTGTTATGGACAAGAACTCGCGCCGTGGTAAAGTGGATCAAGCCCTTGATCATGGCGATGATTTTGACCGGCACACCATCTAGTTCTATCATTCCCCACAGGGACGCACGATGAATGGAATCAAACGCAGCGGCGAAGTCAACGGTGCAGATGACTACCGGTTGCTGTCAAACACAGGGAATTCAAGAATGCGCCTTACCGTGAATGTCTAGTCCGCTCATCCAGGTCCAGCTGTGAATCCGGTCTGATTAAGCCTCATCCTAGAGTCACTCACAGACTGGGATCGTCTGAAAGGGACAATAGTGAAGATCTTTGTACCAACTTTCTCGCACTTTGCCCTATTTTTCTTCCTGAAGACAGGTACAAGGATGCCTGGTCCCCAGTCTTTAGGAGCTACCTCATCTCTCCACGCTTGCCCAGTCACCTCATTAAGCCAGAGTGTCGGAGTGTCGACACATGTCTTGTAGATTTCATCGAGAAAACCGCCCTCTCCGGGCATCTTATTGCTATACAGCCTCTGTGTTACATCAACAACTTAACCCTCAGAAGTGGGGTCGCATGATACGGCATAGGTTGGAAAGGGATAAAACTCCGCTGCACAAGAGAACAAGGGTGTGATGGGTTGCTCATTAGAGTTGAGAATGCGCTCGAAGTGCTCACACCAGCGATCGACCTTGACTGAATTGTCAGCGCTAAAGTCGCTATCCACACAGCAAACAGAGTAAGTGTCGAAAGCTAGATTTCGAGTGTCACCAACGTTGGAGGCCTGCTCAGTGGAGGTTACCGTTTTATGTCGGTCATCGCTAACCGACTTTACCGTCATTTTCCGGAGTCGGCGAAAGGAAGCATTGTTGTGGGACCTGGCCCGAGCCGTCACAGCTGACAACTGTAGGGTTCTTCCACCGATTTAGTCGCTGCAGCGCCGCTGTGTGAGCCAAGGAATTTCCTCAGCTACCTCGAAGATAGAGGATTTCAGTGAAAACCATTAGTCACTATCTTCAACGTTGGCCCGGGTCGTAAAACGGAACCGGATTTCTGTGCGTAGGGGCTCGGAAGTGATGGGTTGTCGGAGGTTGTGCGACGCCGATTCGTCTCGCACGTACCATTTTGGGTGCCGATGAGAGCTGAATTTTCAGGCATGTACGAACGAGTTCATGGTCAAACCAATGGGTGTTACCAGCTTCGACGACACGCCTCGATCTTCTATCATGAACTCAGATACTGAACCTTGAACAGTTTAACCATTGTTTGAATACTGGGTCAACAGACTTTTGTGGCGATACTGAAAGCACGTGTTGGTGTTAAACATTCAGTTCCGATCGGCAAAATTCAGCGTTCTGTTATCGTTGTCGCATCGAGAGTCAAGGCCAAAACGGCCAATAAGGTGACTGAAGAGTCGCCGAATCTAGTCCGGCCATTCAGGTGCTCAATAAAAATCTGCATCACAGCGAGGGAGTCTTGCGACGTTGGACGCGATTTGAGCAGGATCGTAAGCTTATCTGCTCATGCATACAAGACATGCTTTTGGCAGCGATAGCTGGCTAATTAAGATGGGCTTAACTTAGGCATATCGTACAAAAATGCTAGCGTCACCGTATATATATAATGCCTCAGTATATCTGCTGCAAAGCTTATTTTCTGCATGTGGTCAGCGTGTTGCAGTGTAATGCATCTTATTCTAGCTTCTTTAAACATCACCGGCCCTTCCATAGCCCTGTATCCTAGCCATCCTGCCCTGCAGGCCACTGGAAATGAAGATATCTTGATTTCCTTTCTAATGATCTGTGATCGACACATGACATGGACCGCAGGAATTGCCACTATGAACAAAAGTCGGTGTAATAAGCTGTAGTGGTAGCTTGCTGAATTTCCCTAAACTGTTTCCCCACGTCATTTCTCTCTGAGCATGAATATCACATAAACTGCCTGGTTAAGGACGCAAAGGCTTCTCATTTGACTTCCTTTGAAATTTAGAACTGTTATGGAGTTATTGTATCGACTTTAAATTAGGTTAACATGAGCATTGCTACATTTTTTATCATTTGTTTTAGGATGCCTATGCGGTGTTAAGAACTCCGTGTGTTTTAAATGTTTTGTTTGTCGATACAAATATTTTACCACGCCCCTTGGCAGAGCAGTTTTCAGTCGTTAGCGATCGAAAACTATCTTATTTTTTCCTCTCGAGGCCGAAGTGTCCCTATCCTCTATCTGATCGACGGGGTCGATTTACAGCTGACCAAGCCCTTGTCAAGTCAGAGGTCCCGAAAAGACGCTCCAGCCAGCCCTCCATCTGACTCAGTCTCGTCAGACGGTCCCCCACAGCTCTCAAAAATTTATCTGCTCCCGACAGCGTCAACTGTGCGGGATGCCCACATGGCTCACTACTTATGCGTCCACCAGTCCGGAATCCACTGCATTCTTTTGCCCTGGATTGCGCGTTTAAGCCAATTGTGCTCTCGGACCTCTGAAGATACCAGTTTCTCTCCAGCGGGTAAATTCTTGTTTTCCATATGCAACGCTAATATTGGAAGAGTTATTTTATGGGGTGCGTTGGTTTGGTTAGCAATGGGAGCGAAGTAATAGGGGAGCTTAAGCACTAGGCTTTTAGGCAGGACTATCGTCAGCACAGGTAGCCCTATGAAGATCGTCTCTACGAGGTCACGCCGCTTACCTTTTAGACCGAACCGTCTGAGTATCCAGACTTCTCAGACAAACCGACAGTTCATTGTGGGTGACTTCAAGGACAGGTTTGAGGCTTCAGTTCCTCTTGTCTATACTCCAGCAATATCAAGTGTGCGCAAACCGTCGCTTCAGAGTTCCTTGAAAAACTGTCCAAAGTTGCCATCCCCTCATGTTATGTCCATCTAGCAACCAACGCAAGAGCAAGGGGATACATTCAGAATACCCCACCGGGTGATCGCACACTCTTGTCTGGCACTTCTTTAAACTACAACAAAAAGCATCATGACTGCGCTCCGATGGAGCTGAAATAAGTTACTAAAGTAGGGAACTATAGTCACAGAAGCTGAGATGTCTGTGTGAAACCCATCAACTAAGCGGTTACTCGCACAAGAAATGTAGGCGATAAAGCGGCAGACATAAGACCAGCCAACGTCGCCACCTTTAAGGCTGTGTAGGTGAGAACTGATGCAACTGATTAGAAAAAACATACGATGGATGGTTGACTCTGCCTATGTTAAAAATGCACAATAAATTCCTTGCCATAGGAATTAAAACTGGGGAACCCCGAGGTCATACGAGCTACCAGACCTGACAGGTGAAAAAACGCCCCATTGAACCCCGAGAATTCACTGACAGCATACAGGCAAAGTACTTGCTAGACTCATTTGTGGTTGCCCGCAGTCTACAAACCTGATGGTACACTGTGGATAGTTATTAGAGTTCAGCCAGACTTAGCCAGTGAGCTAGCTCATAGATTGACTTTTCCGTAGGTCAGCTCATCAACGTCGCTAACGACCACCTTCAGGTCTGTCCCCCAGGACAAAGCGTTAAGCCTGACGGACGTTCGGTGTGACCGGTACAAAGAGACAAACAACGCGACAAGAGCCGTCAGTTACTGCAGCGATCCATCGGTGGTACGCGTGCGGAGTTACTTAAAGTCCAGTTTAAGGGAGATGAAAATCCTAACAGTTACCCCGGGAAAACAGCAAATGGACCCGCCGCTCACCAGTGTTTGCGTTCCCGCCCACCGAGGCAGAAATGTTCTTTGGCATGCATCAGAAATGTTTGCATGGTAACGCAACGCATTTCTGGGAGACTACATGTCGCCGTGCCCGCCGATCTGCGGTGCAGCAAAGCCATTGGGTTCAAAATGCATTAAGCGTTGGTGAGCAGTTCGGTCCGCCAAAGTCGTTATCCCTGTTTCCTCTACTGTTATGCCGGTCGCACGGAGCAGAGAATGGAGTTCCGCTTACCAGTGCATGGATTGGTTGAGAGAAGGCGGACTCGTGTCTTTGACATGGCCATGAGTTGAATTTCTCCAGCTAACTGCTTGTAGGACAGGCCTATTGTTTCCCCCACATTTTGACTGGAAATACTAGTTTCTACCTAGTTGTGGCTTGTCTGCCCTATCTGTGTGTCTGTGAACCCGACACTTACATAAATGAGCCGTTCGCCCGGTAAGCGGATATCTTTCTCCCGTTGCTCTTGTCCACTTATTTCTTGCATTAGGCACGAACGCTTAATTGTTTTGACAAAATATATGCATGAGACGAAAGGGTTTACTTTTCAACTGCCAGTTAGGACTGGTGAGGCCCTTTTCCCCTTCCCAACCCTCCTGGAAGTACAAACCAGTCTAAGCACCTTCGCGTTTTCTGAAAGGCTACGGGATTTTGCATCTCGCGCAGCGTTCTATTATTTTTGATACGGATGGGGTGCATACAAATGGTAAGGTTACCGAAATTGGATGTCATAACCTTGAAGGGATGGAGGGCTGAATCTTTTCTGTTCACTCTGATGATATTGCTATTATTACCGTCAATTTTAGAAATTAACGTGCCATGGAAAGGCAGATATTAGTCCTTGCCCTTGCGGACGGTGTTTTGGATGAGAAGCATTCAGTTTCGGACTTTTTTCACAAGTTGTCGGCTTATCTCTTAGTGCATTATGTCTTTTAATCATGTGATTTGTAGTGCGATGTTACTCTTTCGCACCGAACTTCACCAGTGTGCCCCTGCGTTAAACTTTTTCAAGATCTGGCTCCGCTTCCCGGTGACCACGGCTGCAGTGCTGAGCACCTCCTTTTGACGCATTTGGGCTCCGAAGACTTGGAGGAAACCGCACTTCAGGGTTTTTCGCGGTCTGTGATTGGCATTATTCCTCCTCAGACTCCCATATCAGACACCTCCGCAAACCGAAGTGGCGCCTTAGGAGGGTCTGAGAAAGTTGAAGAGGCAGAGGACAATTCTCTTCTCGTGCTATTTTCTTCAAGGCCGCACGTTGTCAAGATCGTGCTGCCACCGTCGCTGTCTTTCAACTCTCGACCTCACTCCGTGCCGCAGCAATCACTCCCCGGTGGAGATTCGCCTGATGTCTCGGTGCCTGAGACACCTCTTGTCACCTCGGTCTCATTGTCCTCCAGGTATGTCTCATCACAACTGCCTGACTAACGCCGAATGGCATAGGTCTCGCCCCCCCTCACCATTCTTGCTTCACGTACTAGCTCATGTTGAAATTTTTTCTCGTTTTGTTTGCCCCTCCGTCTTCCTCAGAGCGACAGAGTCGGATTTCTTCCGAAGTTGTCGCCGCGTACTTTCCAACTACAGCATACGCCTGCCCGTGCTCTCCACTGACCTCAAGGAAGACGTCTTCTCAGAAGCTGAATTTATTCGCTTCTTTGTAAAGGTTAGTTGCTAGCTGCTATGTCTGGCCTCTGCGCATTACGTCCATTTTCCTGTCCTGTAGTTCACTTTCTTTCACAATCGCGGTTTTAATGAATGTATAAGAGTTTCTCTTCGTGACGTTCTCTTTGGTTATAGCTTTTTTGTTCACCCGGGGGTTTCTTTTTGCCGGGAGTATTAGTCAACATACACTGAAGACTCGAAAGCATGTTATCGACAAACAGTGGTTTGCCGACAATCAAGAAAAAGCCACGATTTTAACAGGTCTATTAATTTTTCCTCTCTGCATATTACACTTAACCTTGATATTCGGCAAGTATATCTAACCACCGATTCCTTATTAATCTCAACTTTGTCATTTGTTGGTTTCTGTCAAAAAGATGTACGTTTACGACAGTTCATGTCATCCTCAACCTCCCCCCCCCCTCTATCTCCATCGTTACTGGCATTTTCTTCTACAAAGAACTTGTGGTGGTCTAATTGTTCTGGTGTTGCCTCTTTCCCCTTGCCCAGACGATAAGCTGTCTGCGCTCCTCTCGGTTGGGTCGGCTTTCCAGCTTGTGCGCCTCCGTATACCAGTTTGCCGAACACGCGGAGGGCCAGTTAGCTGCGCAGTATGAAGCTGTCAGTTACCTTGCGCAGGAACGCGACCAACTGCAGAGGAAGGCCGTTTCCCTGACCGAGCGCCATTCTCGGATCCTTGAACGGCAGGAGGCCCTGAATCATCGCCTTTCAGAATTGACTCGACGCATTTATAGTGAGTGTACACTTTTTCTTCCACCACTCACCTTTTATCATCGATTTCCCGAAAGCTAGATTGCGTCCCATTTCTACACTGCAGGATTACACACCTTGTGCGGCTTATTCAGTACAGTTTGGAACTGGAGTCAGTAGAGGATGTGGAAAAGTAGCAACCACCCAATCCGCTGGTTTCCCGAAATCTTAGCTGATTCATCTGTGAGCTATCACAGCCGTGTCCGTCGGCTTTGCGACATAGTAATATTCCAGTCGTAGTTGGCAAAGTGTTTTCACCTGTTTGAGCCTACAATTGTCGACGATTTAACGACACAGTAATCCCTCTCTGTATTCCGCTTCGACTACGATTTCACGTTATCCCAGATCTTATATGCAATCAGCGTCGCTGATTTCTCGGGTCAGTTGGTCCTTGATTTCTGGTACATGCTTCCTCAGTTGTTTTGCCCAGTTGGTTTCATACACGGGGTGCTACTGGCGGACGGCTGAGAGGCTACTCAATCAGTGCACGCGGTTAAGTGTCCTAGTTCCAACGAATCTTACATAATATATAAGGGGATATCGAGGGTTTGTGCTGCATGACTGTGTGAGAAATGTTTGAAAAATGTGAGAGGGTTTATAAGTCCCTGAAATATATGAAAACAACCATGAAAACATTGTTTTTACATTGCGGATTTTCACTTTCCACGGATGTTTCTGGAGGGCTGCCTTCTCGATCGAGGACGGATCACTGTACAATCATTTGCACCGGCCCCACCTGCTCGGCGTTCACCTAAACCAACGCCGCCCTCATAGAAATAGAGTTCTGTGCATGTAGGAACTTTGTTTTAAAAATATGGCAGGATGGTTTCCGACAATAATAGACTCTTCGTGTAAGCCTGGAAAAAAGTGACTGAAACAGCTGCCGACATCTCAGACGTGGAGCACGCGACGGAGACTGGTGACCTGTCCAGAACTGCATCACGGTGAATGTTTCCTGACTGGATGTGTTCTCATTTTACAGCTTATTGCCCAATAAAGTCACAGATTTCTGGACGTTATAGACTCAACCGCGCGTCCGACTTTTTAGTTTAAGAAGCAGAATATTGGGATATTGTGGTAGTTTTAGTGCACCTAAGCCTTCTATAACGACCCAGCGGCGCCACGTTGTAGGCAGCCGGCGTATCATTTCAAGAGCATTATGATTTTTTTAAAATTTCCTTTCTCACTTTTATTTCTGCCTCTTCGTTATTGATCTCTTACAATGTTCTCCACAGGATTTATAGTTCGTAGTTAGACCAGACTGAAGTTTTTGAAATACAACTTGCAGTTTTGGAGGTCTGTACCGTCTTAGATCGCGTTTCATACACGGTCCTGGAGCCATCAATGTTTGCTCGGAATCCCGTCTGCTTGCTCCTTCAACGAGCCCAAGGATTTGGGGCTTTATGCTCAGAACAGTTTAGTCCTTGCGCCCATCCTTTGCTCTGTCCCGTCAGTAGGCAACACATTACATCCTATTCCATCAAATCGATATCCAAACTTTGTCAAAAACGTTACATTAGTAATTAATGCATTTTTCCCCCACAGGCATCGAGGCTGGACTCACGAGCGCAGAAGCACAAATGCGTCTGGAAGTGCAGAGTCTGCGTGATCGTCTGAAGTCCGGCCTTCTGGGCTGGTATGAAAGTATGCAGTTGCAGTACAATCACCTGACTGTCCTAGTGGAGAAGGCACAGACCTCTGGCGCTTCCGGTCGTTTTGGACGCCTGACAGGCAATGTTGGTGTAGCGTTCCCAGCTGCTCCTGCCTCCCCAAGACGATCCGCTGTTTCAGACGATCTTACCCAGGTCCAGCTTAAAAACATTACCGCAGCTTTGAAGGAAGAAGGATCAGAAATTGATTCATTGATTAAGGCCGTGGAAAGGTTGAATACATTAACAGTTGATTTGCGATGACCACTCACTGATTCTCACACGAAAGATAATTTTTTTACTTTTTATTCCGAGTTTTTGTTCTCTCCGACGCCTTGACTCGTCTACTAATGCTCCCGGCGAGCTGCTAAGAGTCGACCAATCCAGTTGTTTCACTTATGGGTCTTTTGTCAACCAATAATTTCTTAAAAAAACTTCCAAAACGACGTCTGATTCACAGTTTGACACCTGCCATCGGAATGTCATAGCTTGACTGAATTCGGCCAGCGTCCTTTCCAAGGAAACGTCACTTGAATGTTGCATTTTCTGCCAAGGCCGTTTCGCATTCATTGTACATTATGGCGTAATGAACGAATTTTGTGCACGATAGCCCTTCTGATCGACAGCAAATAATGCCTACTAGTGATGATCTCTTAAATCGTACGTGGTCCAAGTAGACATCTCCGTTGTTGTCGGTGGGGAACTGCTCCTTTTTGCACTGTTCTTCACCAAGTCCAATTGGGGTGCGCAGACCACGACCCTCGGCATTCTGGATACCCGATTAGGCAGAATAGCATTACCGATAAAGACAAGGGAGACTGGAATGGCCATTTCTGGCTTATTAGCCGTCGTCAACCAGTCATACCCAACCCCGAAGTGTAGTACACCTGGGGCTCGATCTCGCGACCTGTTGGTTAGAAGTCCAACGGCTCCAACCACTTAGCCACGGGCTCGTTGTTCTGTCGGTTGCGATCGGGAATATACAATGGCGGAGGGACGCTCGCCGATCTCTTTTACGGAACTCACTCGTCCCGTTGTGCCTTACGGCCTGTCGCTCGAGCCCAACCAGCAGCCGCACAGCGGCGCGTGATACAGACAGAATAGCCCTGTTTTGCCGAACAACGGTATATTTTTTGTGGGTAGTTGGTTTCACTCGCATCCTGCGTTCAAAGGCCAAAATCCGCACCTACTTCAGCACGCCAGTTTAAAGTTGCGGGATTATTACGGACAGCAAGTAAAGCCCAGTTTGATAACCGACTACATTCTGCAAGTTGATATACTTTGTAGATTTTTCACAGGCAACCGATTTACCATACCGTCTCCCGGTCTAACTTGAAGGCATTGTCACTGCATGGTCTTCTACTGCTTGTTCTTCAGACGCGAGAGTCTGATAGGCAACTCGTGTACATGGTCCACTCTCGACTTGATCACTGCTTTATGTGCTCACATAAGGCAAAGAACACTCGCGTGATACGTGCGTATTCTGGCTTATCATGTTGCGTCGGTCATACCGACGGTGGAGAAGAGAATTACGTGCTAGTTGTCGTCCGGTATGACTATTACCGGATGTGGAGGGGGTTCGTGTGCGACCCGGGATCTGTGTTCTTTCTCTTTAAACGGGCGAGCAGAGACGGCGGCTTGTGCGTGAATAAGTTTAAAGTGATAGTAGGTTTGCGCAGCATCTACCGTATCCTCCGTCCCCACTACCCACATTGACCCCGTGTGAAGACAGAGTCAAAAAGGCCGGAGATGGGGGAGGATGCAGGTGGCTGGCACGGCCGGACCCGCGTCTAGGCAAGCCACACCTGGTCCACAACACACTTAGCCAGGATTTTAACCAACAACGACAAAAGAATGGAGGTTGGCATGGCCGAAGCCGCACCTAGGCGTGCCGCCACACCCGGCCGGATCCCATGGAGTGTGAATGCCATAAAGACCACATTAAGAAGGCGCCATTGTAGTCTGACTCTTAGAGCACCAGCCGGCCACTCCACACAAGCACACAACACTGGGTCGACTGCGAGGTCCAAGTTATCCTGTCCGTTGGCAACCTTCTAAGCCACGACTTTTAGCTCACTATGACAGCTTAAAGCGCGTCATATTGATTGTAGTGAGGAAAATGCGCCGAGCTGTCGACCTCACTCTCCCCATTCCCAAGTCCCCGCCACTGTCCCAGTGGGTCAGTTGACTGATGCGGGGAATGGTCGCGGAGTCTGACCTATCTAGAGACCTTGTTTGCGCGCGCCACCTGGCCCCCAAACACAAGCACCAGGATTTCACACAACGAGGGTTGAGCGGCGCACATCTCGCATGCGTTAGAGTGCCGTAGGTCACTTTTAGGAGCTGCTTCAGCCTATCCCTCAGCCCACCAGTCCGCCACTCCACACAAAGACACACGACTGGACGGACTGCATGGACTGAGTTGGGGCGTCACATGGCTGCCTTCCAAGCCACGACGCTTGAGGCGCCGTGATAGTCTCAAACTCGAGTCACATGCAACTGGAGAGCCGCATGTAAACAGAGCCGAGACGCACACCTTCCACTTGCGTAGCAGGTGGCGACTGGATGCTTGTGGTTGGTGATGTTGGTGTGCGATGAGATGCTGGTGGGGGAGGATGTGATGGTGTGGCGTAGCCGACGGTTGTCTACCGCAGGTTTTCGTTGATGTGCATGTGGCCGAATAGGCCCATGTGGTGCATGAATGTGCGAGGGCAGTGTGGACATTGAAGGCGAATGCGGTGGGTGTAAGTTGATGCTCTGAGTACTGGTTCGCCAGTCTCTGTGCGATGGGTTCGCAAGTGATCGACCAGGCCGATGTGTGAGGTGAAGGTACGGCCGCAGTTAGGAGAGGTGTAATCCTGGTCCTCACCACTGTTGTCGACGGTGGTGGTGTTGGTGTTTGTTGGTGTGTCAGGAATGTGTGTAATGATGATGCGTGTGGCAGAAACCACAACGGCAGACGTGGAGGAGGAGGAGGAGGAGGAGGAGGAGGAAGTGGTGGTTCGGGAGAGCGGCCAAAGTTATTTGATGGTGTAGGAGACCACGGAGAGACAATGGCTGATGCAGTCCGGATGCTGCATTTGGTCTGAAGGTGTAAAACAAGTCCAATAAGTGCCCGGAATGTCCGTTGACATCGTGGGCGCGTTGGAGGCGGTTGGGCAGTGGTGGTGCCAAGTGGGCGCAACTGAGATTTGCGTGCTTCTCGTTTGGTTTTCGCCGCGGCGTTGCGGTTGGCTTTGTAGATCGCTGCGTCTGTCTTCACTGTCCTCCTCCAGGTCGGTCAGTCTCAAACGAGGTCTTCGCGGTTGGCCGGGTTGTAGACGCTTCAGGGAGGTCTTCAGAGTGTCTGTGTGCCGACGAAGTTGGCCTCTTTGGCGACGGGAACCCGTGGCGACATCTCCATATAAGAGTCTTCTGGGTAGCAACACTTCCATCCGCGCGTGTTGGTCGCTCCAACGCGGTTACAGTTGTCTCAGCATGGCGTAGATGCTGAGGATTCCCGTCTGCTCCAGTACGTCAGTGTCGGGTATTCGGCCCTGCCACCTCAGCTTCAGTATACGGCCAAGCTGACTGAGGTAAAAGTAGCTGAGCCGGCGTGCCTGCTTCGTGTACACCGTCCAAGTCTCTGCTCCGTACAGCAGCGTCGGGAGGATAACGATCTTACATATCTTCAATTTCGTGTTGAGCTGAAGATCGTGACGGTGTTCTACAGACGGCCGAAGGCTTGGCTGACTTTGGAGACGTGGCGGGAAACTTCGTCGATTTTGGGGATGCGCGAGAGGATGCCGCCCAGTTGCGTGGAGTTGTCCATCATTTGCAGTTGCGTTCCGTCCACGCTGATTTGCGGCACATTGTGGTCTGTGTTGGGTGGCGGTTGGTGCATGACAATCGTTTTCTCCGTTTTGATGATCAGACCGAAGTTGTCACAGGCGGCGGCGAAGAGATCAATGCTCCTTTGCATTTCCCCTTCCGAGGTTGCGTTTAGGGTGCAGTTGTCGGCGAAGAGAAATTCGCGGACGGTGGTTGTGGATACACGCGACTGGAAGGGCATCCTCCGTTGATTGAGAAAGTGACTGTCCGTCCGGTAGGCGACGCGGATCCCGAGGCGCTCGTCACGGTAGGCGTCAGTCAGCATGGCAGAGAACATGAGACTGAAGAGGGTGGGCGCCAGGACGCAGCCCTGCTTCACTCCGTTGGTCACTGCGAATGCCTCTGAGACAGCTGCATTGTCCGTGCCACGCGCCATCATGCCATCGTAGAGGTGACGCACCGTCTGAGTGAATTGTTCGAGACACCCGAATTTCGGCATGAATTTCCACAGCCCTACACGATTCACCGTATCGAACGTTTTCGTCAAATCCACGAAGCTAGAGTAGAGGTGGGCCCGCATCTCCTGACACTTTTCCTGAAGTTGGCGGGTGACGAAGATCATGTCCGTGGTCCCAAGATGACGGCGGAAGCCGCACTGGCTGTTTGGCAGAAGACCTTGTTCGAGGTGATAATTTAGGCGGTTAAGAAGGATGCGAGCAAAAATTTTCCTGGCAATGTTCAGCAAGGAGATGCATCGGTGGTTGTCGCAGAGCTGGCGGTTTCCCTTCCGTTTGTAGAGGTGCATGATTTTGATGCCACATCACCTGAGAGAGCGCCATCAGAAGATGCATGAGTTGGGAGCATCGTGCTTGTAGATCTCGGCGGGGATCTCGTCCGGGCCAGGCGCTTTCCCGCTGGAGAGCTGATGCACGGCCTTGATGGGTTCATGGAGGGAGGGCGGTAGGTCGAGGTCAGCATTGGTGTCCACTTGAGGCAGATGGGCAATGACGGCGTCGGAGATAGTGAAAGGGCAGTTGAGGACGCCTCTGAAATGCTCGGTCCATCGCTGTACGATTTGTCTTCGCGGCGAGCAGGGTACTGCCGTCGGCGTTGAGAAGAGGTGCGGCACCTTTGGTTGGCGACCCTAGACGGCCTTGATTGCAGAGTTCTTCCATTCGTTACGGTCCATGTACCCTCGGATCTCCTCGGCCTCGCGAGCTGTACAGACGTCCTGCATCTTGCGCAGCCGCTGTCGCACAGGACGGCGGCTGCGGCAGAAGGGTACTTTGTTGTCGTCAGTGAGCGGTCGACGTAGGCCTTGTTCAGGCGGTTCTTCACGGCGAGTAGGTTGCTGATGGCGGTGTCGTCATCGAACCAGGCCTGATGTTGATGACGTGCGTGAACGAGGACAGCCAGGGCTGTCGCCTGGACTGTATCCCGCAGTTGACACCATCGGTTCTCAACAAAGGCGTTTTTCTCGATGACGGCGGCAGCCACTGGTAGGTTTGACAGCCGCTGGAATGTTGTCTAGCCGCTGAGCTATCTCATCGCTGAATTGGAGATGGTTAGTAGGCAGACTACAAAGCAGTATTCAGCTTACCTGGGGAGTCGCCTACTTTGAGGCCTCCTGTAAGACTGTAGATGAATCCGCACCTGGGGTATGACGAGACGAATGTCGGCCCATCCGTCAGCACCCAAAATCGCCTTTGTCATCAGCATGTCCAGCTGGTCTCGCCTCCCGAGGAGGACATAGTCCAGCATATGCCAATTTTTAGACCAAAAGTACGTCCAGGTGGCCTTCACTGGCATCGGGACGCGGAAGAAGGTGTTGGTCAGGAAGAGTCGGTGTTCTGCACAGGTTGGTAGAAGAAGCAGGTCATTGTCATTGGAGCCGTTCAGACCATGGGGAACCAGCGCACCTCCCAAGGCAGCATGGTCTTTGCCGACGCGGGCGTTGAAGTCACCCAGGGCAATCAACTTATTAGCCTTCGACACAGTCGCCAGGAGGGCATGCAGGTACTCGTAGAATTTTTCTCCTGCGGCGTCGGAGCTGGTCCTCGTTGGAGTGAAATCGCTGATGATGGCAGCAAATTTGCCTCCCCGAAGATGCAGGCGGGGGCTTATCAAGCGATCTTTGATTCCCTGCGGCAGACAGGACAGTCGTCCCACGATGTCGTTCCGGATGGCGAAGGAGACATCCGCGTCTCGTTCTGCCCTGGGGCGAATGCTCCACAAGAAGGTGTAGCCAGCATCCACGTCCTCCAGTTCGCCTTTTTCGGATAACTGGGTCTCGCTGATTGCAGCTGATTGTGGAGCGCCAGTTCACGAGTCACTAGCTCTGTTCGCCGTTCCCGTCGGGTGAGCGGACTCACCCCGCAATCTGGCGGGTAGGAGGAGGAGGTGGAGGGAGAAGAGAGAGTGTGTTGTTTCTTGTTTGGTTGCTTCGACAGTGAGCTTTACGCCTGCAGTCATGGTCAGCCTGCAGACGTCGCGGTTCCCTAGCATTTGTTTAGGGCACCTTTTCTAACCCTCTCCCCCTCGCGGGGGTGACCAGTGCTATCCATAAATAGTGCTGCTCGGATTTGTCAGGCGATTGCCGAACTCCATTATGGGCCACGACTATGTTTGGTGGGGGAACGACCCGAGTTGGCCTGGGCTTGCCTACGACAACACCGTAGAACTTGAGGGGGAACGAGGAAGGGTGGAGACGGGATGCAGAGCTTTCTTGCATCTTGGTGGGCAGACAAATTCAACAGAACGGCATTTAGCTTACAGTAAGGACTAACGCAATTAAGCAGACAAAAACAGTCAGGCAAGAAAAGCAGAAAGCAAAGGCAACAGAGTTAATTCAACAGAACGGCATTTGGTTTTTAAAAAGAACAAGCACAAACAAGCAAGCAAATAACAATCCTGCAGAGTGATGCTCCCTTACTTGGGGGACACTTACCCTTTGGCCTCGTGCAGTGTTGCAGATGAAGCTTCTTCTCGGAGATACCGAGGCGGTGACCCATCCGGCTAGTGGAGCCGAGTTACCGTGTGCGAAAATGCACACATGGATACCTTTTACTGGCTCAGCCCGCGGGTCGGGGCGGTTACCGGGTATGGCCGCTACGCAGAGCCTGGCTTCAGGGAGCCACGGGCGAAAGTTGGGTGCTAGATAATGGACGCTAGAAGTAGTCGACACCTGTAAGCGAGTGACCTACTATGACCGTCACGCTGACCCATAACTGGACACGCCTGCCCCGTAGTACGAGCAACAATACATACCCCAACCCCATTGTAACCAGTGGGCTGTGAGATTGAGATGCTCACCCGGGCAGCCCGGCATTTTGTTCCGTTTTAGAGTATCAAATATGTAACCGGGCAGAAAAGAAGACAGCTCGTATCGTTCGTGAGTTAGCCTACTACAAAGCAGATATTGCAGCCGTCGCTTACCTGTGTAGAAACTACTGGAGAAGTTGGGTGACGAAGAAAACTCTTTCTAGAACTAACGTTCAGGGGCAAAGCACTGATATGCCGTAATAATCTTTGCTTTCAGAACTGACGTCGTCCGACGCCTGTTCTGTCTGTCACAGGGCGCCGGTAACCTCGTGACTATGAGGCTACCACTCCGCATGGACAAACTCGATGCCATCGTCATCGTCAATGCCTTCAAAAACCAACTACGATGAAGTGAGAAACAAGTCTATTGAAGACTTGCACACACCTCTAAGAAGTGTACCGATGGTGGACAAACAGATGACCTTTCGTTATTGTTATGGAATCCCCGTGGGAGGGAATGAGCGAAGAGCCCGCGTGGAAACGGATGACGCACGCTATGTGATTAGAAAACACAAAAAGCTATCATGAAATCACTGACACCAATGGCGTTCATGCCGAAGCATGCGAAAGTATGTTCTGGAAGCCTGACAATGCAATAAAAAGCCCGTAGGTAAGACAAGACATGACTCGTGATTATGCTCACTAAGGAGTTCTGTATACCGCACTGATCGTTTCCTTGTGACGTGAACGTTCGCATATGCGAAGGTCATTCCGCCTGGAAGATAATGCGCGGTCTCCACGGGGTCGCAGTCGCAACAGCAGTCATACAGAAAAATCAGTCCTATCTTGACCAACACCTTCCGCCATACTACCCGAGAGACGGCGATGTAGGCGCATCTTCGTTCTCCCCAGTGGCAGCTGCTCGACTTCGTGCTCGTTTGGAGGCGTGACGTGCTAGTGACAAAGGCAATGTGAAGCACAGATTGTAAATGACTTAATAAAAAGAAGAACTCCAATCCGCTATCTATCTGCCTGTTCAAGTTCGGTCTGTTAAGTGTCATTTAGTCGTCCAGCTACATCAAAATGATCTTCGCTAGGCTGCCTTTCTTGCTCTCATTCTTAAAGCGCTCAAGACTCCGGCTGACAAGTAACTACGAAAAACGGAGCAGAGGCCTTAAATTCCTAACTAAGTCATCAGATGAAACATTTTTCGAACTCAGCAGAGAAATACACCACACCCTAACTCGTCCCACGTTCTCCACCAAAGATAGGGAATAGGCACCAGTCACGTATCTGGGAGCGCTGTTCCTGGCTCCTTCTACATGTGGCATCCATGGAACTATAACTAACCTAATATCCGAGCGGTTAGCTCCTTTGCGGAAAAATCGTGGTGTATGGTGCGGGGGCAGGTACTGTGTGAAAAGTGTGAAAAAGGTTAATTTTTTCAGGCACTTGCTTGCCATCTCGTCATCAGTTAGTTGACCGGTTCGAACAATCGTCTGCTGAAAATAGACAGACGATCGAGGGAGTCCTTCTCCGGTGGCCTAATCGCTAGGATAATTCGGTGCATTCCTCACTGTAAATAACCCGATGCACTTTTAAGCTATCACGGCGCGCTAAAAGTGGTGACTTGAGAGGCAACCAATTAACGGGCTAAACGGATCCTCCTCAGGATGGACTGCGGGCGGTTCGTGTTAATGTGGCTCTAATGGCACTCATCATGTTGGGATCCGAGCCGTCCATTTCTTGTTTCCGCGAGGATCTGGCCAGTTGTATGCCGACCATCCGTGCGTGGCACGCGTAAATTTTATATTTTTGCCATTTACTGGGCCAGAGCCCGCTTCCGGTCGCACTGACCCTGTCTGTCACCAGAACGAGATAAGTGAGAGGGATGAGAGCGTCATATCATGCGCAAGTCTGACATCACTGTAAACTACTTCGCGTGCAAGTTCTCGCCCTGCGCCTACTCTGCTGTGAGACACATGCCACATCTTGTAGTTCGCGCGTTCAAATTGAAATACATTCAATGAAGAGTGATCTCACAGTCGGAAATTATTTGTTCTTGAAATGCCCAATAGATCTGGGGGTCCCCATTCTTTCTTGAATTAATATACAGTCAACAGTAACAGGAAATACCGTCTGACGATAAATAGGTTAACGTCGGTTCAGTAAATTAGGGCCCATTTTACCCAATTTGTCTGTGAATTTGTGGTAGCCCTTTCTATAATTTTATTTGCGCCTTTTTAGTTATTCTATTCATTTGCCCTTTTTCTAACGCCCTTATTCCGGTATTTTTAAAGTTGGTGTTTATAAATTACTAGCTGGCCCGGCCATGCGTTGCTGTGGCTCAGGTTGATTCAAAATCTTTGTTGGATAATTAACCTGCCTCGTCTGCTTCTGCAGCTGTATCGACGGACGTGTATGTGACTGCCTCGCTTTGAATCTTAGACGTAATCATGTGGTTATAATGGTACACGTGTTTGTTTTTGGTCGTAAGAATGGCTTGCTCGCACGATCAGTATTGATCGTTGAAAATGGTCTGAATAGTGGGAAACACCTTTTCAACCAACCCCTCTTTTGAGGACACTAAATTGTCGAGGCTAAGACGTAAGGAAATACTTCTTGTATTGGGATAAGTGGACACCGTTGCATTCCCGATTGCCAGCAATTACTATGACAATACCTCAGCCGATCGGTAGTTTTGCAGCTGTACACGCATATTTGCAGTTACTTTTACCGTCTGGATTTTGCGCCACAGAGAAAAGTGTTTCCGACGCATTTATTTCGTCTGCTGTTGCCGATGGAGGAATTACAGGCAGTGTTTGCCCGAAGTCTCCTGCAAGCAATAGCAGTAATGTCTCCAAATGGTCTGCTGTTTCCACGCACATCTTGCAGTGTTCGATCGAGAGCCTCGAGCGTTTTTTTGCTCACGGCGCAAATCCACATCAAACGAAACAGAAGAAGGCCGGTTTGATGAGGACATTCCCGATTGATTAGGAATTGTTTTCGGAATTTATTACGTACATATCCACAATCACTATTAACGCCTCGGTGTAGATTCCTGCTGTGAAATCCGCATTTTGAATTTTCCTTGCGTAGTCGACGGACGATATCCTCAGCCATGTGCGATTTATATTTCTCCCACAAATTTGTTGGAGATGAGGTAGAGCAGGCGGTCAGTAAGAATGCGAACAATGAGCGAATTCGATGTGGATGGGACGTGTTTCACGCAACACTAACACATACATCCCGGTGTCGGTAGTTTTCCAATAAATTGAGAGCATGGCATGCACTGCAGAAAGTGGCGTGCGTAACACCGCTGACAGATTTCAACTACTGTAAGGACGTTGAACCGGACACATTCACCAACACCGTGCGGAGTAAGAACCATTCGTCCTGATTGGGATGCACGCTGTGCAGTCTGCCTATCGCAGTTCTTTGAGTATACCTGGGTGTCCGTCCACTCGCTCTCCTCGTTTGCGTCGTACAAAAGATTTTCTGCGCGCATTCCCTGTGTAATATGTAGGTACTTTCGAATACGACAGGGTTTTCACAATCGCGTCAGTTTGGCTGAACAGGAAGAACGCAATTAGTGTGTTGCCGGTGGTCTGTTGCACATTTGCATCGGTAAAGTAAGCGCTATTGCCCACCTGGGCTTGGATATGGATGGGGAATGAAAGAATTCGCCACACGAATTTGTTGCCCTTGACGCATCTCCTAGCCCAATACTGTGCGATTTCATCGAGTTGTATGCCCGCATCCCTTTCCCTCCTTTCGTTTTGCAGGCCGAAAACGGCCATGTCGCTGCCTTTATTCACTTACCTACAAATGTACCTAATTCGTTTCCCGCAATTGCAGTTTTTCACGTTCATGTGAGCTGCGTTTGCTTTTAAAAGCAAAGGCAAGTACGAAACAGCCCAGCGGTTACCGACTTCTAAGTCATCGATTCGCATTCGTACGGTTGCCAACTTGCCGAAGTCTTCCACTGATCTTATTCGGTATAAAGGACTTCCGTCTATCATGCCGGGGGTAGAGGAGGCTTGGAGAATTGGGATTCAGTGCATCCAAGGTCCATGTTTCATATTCTTCGCCACAACTTCATGCAACGCATTGTCGACGTCGGCATCAGCGCATATGGCATCGTCGATTTCGTTCGAAGTGATCTTGTTAGAGAGCCAGATCAATGCATGTGCATGGGGTAGTCCCCTCTTTTGCCGTTCCACCTAATACATCCAGCAGCGCACATGCCCAAACACCTCGTGTTTCACCATGAAGTTCATCAGCGATTGAAGTTTCTTCCTGAAAACACGTGCTGTGATGTCATACCTATTTACCGCCGATAGCCCAGGAGATAAGACCTGATAAACATCACCAAGCTGGATTGCATTTGAATGTTATGAGTAGGTCTGGACGTCCGTACTGACAATTGAAAGCAATTGCACCTCGAGCGTACTCGAGCATATGGCGTGGACGACAAAAGCGTCAGTCTGACAACGTTAGCTGCATTACCGTCGTTTACAACAGCATCAGGCAAAGGAATTTATCCTTCAGAGAGCAGCTTGGTCTGATTTAAGCGAATGAAAGCAGGCGTTCAGTTTCCATTTTTGCATACATATCCACAATGCAGTGATGAAGCAATTAACGGCATTTCAAAAGGGGACAACTTACATTCTGTCGTATAATAAGTCGGTTTGAGTAGGGGTTCATTGCGCTGCATTTCATGTGCGTTACCTTGTCACTGACTTGATTT